TTTTAAGATCAGCTTGATGTTCACTCTGAATGTAGGGGCCCAGGCCTAACAAAGAGGTGAGTAAGAGACTGAGCAAAGAAGAGTGTCCTTTTCTCGAATTCAGCTGAGTAACACTATGTATGCAATCCTGGTGTTTATTTTTATGCTCTTCTTTCTTTATGTTTATAGCCCAAACTATCATATAGCAACTCCTACTCCACTCTTTTCTTGGCACGTTTCTTAGTAGACTATAGTAGCTTTTATTTAAATTTTCCTATGTTTGTTCTTTGCCTACATGTATGTCTCTATACCACTTGCATTAGTAGTACCCATGGAGGCCAGAACTGAATGTCAGATTCCCTGCAACTGGAACTAAAAATGGTTGTGAGCTGCTATGTGGGTGCTGAGATTCACTTCCAGGTCCCCTAGAAAAGTAACCAGTGCTGTTAATTGCTGAGCATTTGCTCCAGTCCCTCAGTTTTGTCCACATTGTAGGAAACCTGTTTGAGCCTGTCTCTGTCTGCGTGTTTGTTTATTTATTTAGTTTTGTGAGACAGGCTTTAAGGTAGCCTAGACTGACCTTGATCTCATTGTGAATCTAGTACTTTTGATCCTTCTTCTATGTCTCAAGAAGTTCTGGCATTACAAGTGAGCACCACTACCATGGCTGTTACGTGTCTTGTTGGTAACTTAAGTGCAGGACAAACACTCCCCCAACTAGGTGAGCTACATCTCCAGCTCATTATATAGTGCCTTAATAGCAATCAGTGATTTCCATATTTGGCTTACACACTACACTATAGGCTTCAGGTAATCAGCGATTGCTGCTGTATTTTGTCAATCTTTGAAAATGCTGACACATTATGCTCTATCATCTTCATTCTTGAGATCACTATTCTAATTTAAATCAGTGATTTATTGTGTTGGGGTTTTATTCCTGAAGTAACTAATGTTAACTGAGAGCCCCTTTGAGTCAGAAAAAAAAATAGAATGCCAGTACTATGTGGGCACATTAAACCTGAGTTTTGAAAACAAACCCTCTGAAATTGTTAAAGCTACTCTCATTCAGCAATGACTCGGTGTTTAAAAGTCACGGAGGCTAATTGGGTGATTTGTTTGGCAAAGCCACTCAGCAAAGTTAATACCTCTGTAGTCACATCTGATTTTCACTTGAAGCATGAAGGGATTCAGGGTGCTGATACTGGTAGCTAGACTGTCATTGCCATGAACAGGAGTGCATGGGAGACAGGTGATGACTAACCTATCATGGGTGAGTGAACACAGAAAGCACAGTAGGAACAGCTGCTCCTCAGGTACAACCCGAGCAGTGTTCTCTGGCCTTTGATCCCTGTGTTCACACCAAAAGCCCCCTCTGTATACATTCCTCCACATTCCACTGCTCTTTGTAAATGCCAGTTCCCCTAGCCTTAGAGTGATTTCTGTTTAAAGTTCAGGATCTCCAGACAACCCAGACATCAACTGAAGTCACCATCACCCAGGGCTCGTAAATGAGAGTTTTGCAGGCACCAGAGAAGCAGAGTATCATCCCTTTCCAACACACAGCTCTTCATGCCTGTCATTTTTCTTCTTCCCTTGCAAGAGACATAACATGAAAAGGGTACACCTGGCATGTGTACATCATGGGCTCCCATTGCTGCCTGTTTACAATGTTTTGGATAAACTCAGCCTTATGGTTTTTGACAGGTGGTCAGCCACTTTTAAAATACTTGTATTGTCAATTTTTCCTCCTGATTTTTTTGTATTCGTCCCTCATTTTGCCAAGACTTGGGGTTCAGAAAATTCTTGAAGCACCACATCTAAGTTAGTTTGATGTGATCAATCTTATATTGCTTCTGATTCATCAGGGACGAAGGGAAGATAAACTGAGGATAAGCTATTCACACATTACTGCTATTAATGCCGTGTTAATAGCGCTGAATAGACGTCTGAGCAGCTAAAAGCAAGTTGTTCTTCCTCAGCGATTGGCTGTGATTCCCAGCACACAAAAGACAGTTTAGAAATCTCTGTAAATTCAGTCATGGAGGATATGATGCCATCTCCTGATCCCCACTGGTACTAGATATGCATTTAGTATTTACAGAGGCAAGATGTGTAAAACTAAATTAATTTTAATTCTTTTTAAAATATACATGAAGAAAACAATTTTTGCAATCAGGAATGACATATATATGTGTTTTCCTCATTTGCATATCTTGTGACCTAGGAAGCCAGAAGAAGCATTAGATCTTCTGGAACTGAAATACAAGTAGTTTTGAGACATCTGATGTGGGTGCTAGGAACCTAACTTGGGTACTCAAGAGGAGCATTACTACAGAGCAAAGCCTTCAGCTCCAAAATATGCCATTACAATGTAGATAAAGATGCCCTACATTATCTACATTACTCCTTTCTCCTATCACTTGAGGGAGATGAAAGTTCGTTAGATTCCAAGGATTCAATTCTCTCTCTCTCTCTGGTTTTTTGAGACAGGATTTTTCTGTATTGCTTTGGAGGTTGTCTTGGAAATCGCTCTGTAGACCAGGCTAGCCTGAAACTCACAGAGATCCACCTGCCTATGCCTTCCAAGTGCTGAAATTAAAGGTGTGTGCCACCAACACTCGGATAGCATGGTTCTCTTAAAGAAAGCAAAGATAACAAAAGTTTTTTGAAACCAGTGAGAGTCCAATCAGATTATATATAGTAAAGTTCCTTATTTTGAGATATGCTCTTTCTTTCAGAAATGTTTATGTTTTTGTTTTTTGAGACAGGGTATCTCTACATAGCCATGGCTGTCCTGGAATTCACTATATGGATCAATCTGGCCTCAAAATCAGAGGGATTGCCCACCACTGTCTCCCTAGTGCTGGAATTATAGGCATGCACCTTTAAGACCAGCTATGTTTTAAAAATGATTTTAAATAATAATATAAAATATTTTTAAAATTATCTTTGAATGAGGGAAGGATAAAATAAGATTTAAATAAGATCTATCATTGTTTTGATATACAGTAATTCTTGAAGTTCTATAATAATAATAATAACTTAAACTGGCAAATCATTATGTACTCAATAATTGGGCTATTTTCCTTGCTTTTTTAATTTCAACCACTAAAATTATGTTTGAATTGTGTGTACACCTGTGCCATGGTGTGTGTAACAGTGACAGGACACCTTGCAAGTGTCTATTATCTACTTCTCCTATCTGAGTTTTAGAGCTGAAGCCTAGGGAGTCCAGTTTGGCTGCAAGTGATCTCATTTGGGCATTATTTTGGGTATAAAATTTTTTTATGTATGTGCTGGTATGTAAGTGTGCATATGCCACAGTCTAAGTGAAGAAATAACAGAAAGTTTGTAGGAGTAATATGGGTCTCCCAGAGATTGAATTCAGGTCATCAGGCTTAGCAACAACCAATTTTTCCCACTGAGAAACTTCTTTGGCATTCATTTGTGGTTCTGAGGAAGTATTTTGAACAAGTGTTTAGTACCTAGAGTAAACTAACACATTCCAAATTTTTTAATAAAGAAAAAGAGATAGCAGTATATCATTTTCATTTACAAATAGGATCTATTATTCAAACTGTCTTGTTTACTCCATCTTTAGATAATAATAGGTTCACATATTGAAAAGAAGACATTGTTGAAATGTTTCAACTAATATTATTTGAGCATCATTGAGACAGCTAAGTGGAAAATATCTGTAGTATGGAAGGTTGAACTTGACCTTGATATTCATATAAAGATGGCAAACAAAGTTGTCTTCTGGTCTGGACATATCTGTCATGACCTAAAAACCTATAATCACATTATCACAAACACACAGACACACATACAGACATACGCGCGTGCACGTGCGCGAATGAGAATTTAAAATAAATCATTGCTCTTACATTGTCTGGTATCTCTGATAATTCCCCTAGAGGGCAGGACTTGAAGATGAACTGCCAAATAGATAATAAGTGGGGACATGAAGGAGACTGAAACATCAAATAACATATGCATATTCATGTCATATCAAGCTATGCAGTGAGATATACAGCAGATTATTGTTTATCCAATTTCATTACATCTCTACCAGAGAGATGAAAATGCTGCTTTGGTTATACAATGAGGTATTTACTGATCCTTGTATCCTCTTCCATGAAGCAATTTTAACATCAACATTGTAAAACAAAACAGCACGTGTTGTGGGTACATCTTCTATCTTTGGACTTGTACTCAATAGGATGGCACGTGAGAATCAAGAGTTGAAACGTATCCCTGACTAATTACTGACATCCAAGCGAGGCTGGATCACAAACAACAACATCTCAAAGGGATTTGTGAAACTATGAAGAACAAAACTGAACCAATAACCCACTACCCTTTCACAGATACCCTTACTTGAAAAGTATGATAATATACTGCTTGATATTTAAATAAACAATGGACTATTTAGAAGGTGGGCATCCCATTCCATACACCGAAGCATAAAAATATCTATCAACAAGGTGAAAGTGGAATAGAAGATGAACAGAAGCCATAAAATATAAAAACAGCCTGATTAAGTAAATGGATTAGCCACACATGCAGCAAAGATCAATACCTATTCCAAAAATTTCAAAACACAACCTACAACTATAATTGTTAGTCTTTACTTGATTGAACATGGTAAATAATTTACTTCTTTCAGGCTATAATAAAAAACAAGAAAAAAACTTTTTCTTGAAAGTATAAACAACTGTCTTTACCAAATTGTTTACATGAATAGGATTTGTTGATATCCTGACATTATGCTAACTACAGAGTACGCACATTGGCATTCAGGCAGATACTTAAGACAGCTCAAAGGGCCCTGTGTTGTGTGGCTACATACTCTGTACATATATGCAAGCTTTCCCTTTTAAGCAAGCGCCTCCTGTCTGTTCTCTCTCTTTCCATTTCCACTCCTGGTGGGCTGACACCAACGCTCCCTTCGCTCCCTTTCCTGATAAACTCCATGTGAGTTTTCTTAAGTTTTGTGGCTCATGTTTCATTGGCCAGAGTTAAAGCAAACAACAGGGTTTTTCTCTTGAATGTGTTCTTAACACCAAGATGATATATAAAGGCTTTAAAATATTTACAGGGTAAGAGATATGTCTAAGACAAGTTCATTCTCAGGGCCAAGGTCAGGTTTTTGACAACTTCCTAAAATTTCTGCTACAAGAAGATTACAAGGTCTAACCTTCTTGGGAACCAGTATAAACATGTGCATACCCACAAAGACACATTGATATCACAAAATTAAAATTAGAACAAGCCATTAAACAAATTTTCACTCGTGAATGTATGTCTCATGTGAGCATTCATTCCTATTACACAGGTGTTGAGGCATTTAAAGGCTTAAAATTTTTTCTACATCATGAATTGGTTCATGTAACAGAAAGCAAGCTAGTAGACTTGAAGCCAGAGAAATCAGCTTTACTCAGTCTGTCTATCAGTTGGGAAGACGTGGGAAACGCTGCACTGCTGGAAGAGACAGGCCACCGGAAGGAGGGGCTGGAAGTCTACATCGGCACACCATCTCCAGTTCCCACTCTCTGCTCCACGCTTCAGGGTGAGGAAGGGAACGCTTGGCTTCTTTCTCTAGCTGCGATGTCTAACACTTGTTGCCATTCCACTTTCATGGCGATCCTGATTCCCTCTGGAACCGAGGGCCAGATTAAGCTCTCTCCTAAATTGATTTGGACATGGTGTTTTTACCCCAGCAACAGAACAGGCACTAAGACACATGCCTAAAGCGTAATACCTGGGTGAGTTATTTCATAAAACTGAACAAGTATGAGATCCAAAAGGGTAACCTTTTCATTGAAATTCATAGGGCTTTTGTCCATATGAGTCTGCACATTGCAAACAAAATGAAGAGGGATATCAGAATGCTTGAACATATTGGTAATAATTACCAGATGTTTTCCTCCAGAAAAAAATAATCTTGTGTAACTAAATCTAAGTGTGTTGGCCAAATATCTTGCCAAATTCTTTGCGATCAGGTTCCATTCCGCATTACTTTTTTTTTCAAGTCCTCAAAGACTTGTAATATGCAAGAGCTTTACTAGACCAATTACACACTAAAAGTTTTACTCTTGTATAAAGAGTACTGTGAAGGGCAAAACTTCTCCACATTCACTATATTTACAGGGTTTCTCTGCAGTATGACTTTTTCTCATGAATTCGAAGACCACTGATACATGCAAAGGCTTTATCACACTGTTGACATTTGCAGGGTTTCTCTCCAGTATGTGTTCTTTTATGTTTTTGTAGATGACTGTGTTGTGAAAAGGCTTTACCACATTGATTACACTCGTAGGGTTTCTCTCCAGTATGTGTTCTTTTATGTTTTTGTAGATTACTGTGTTGTGAAAAGGCTTTACCACATTGATTACACTCGTAGGGTTTCTCTCCAGTATGTGCTCTTTTATGTATTTGAAGATGATTGTGGCATGCAAAGGCTTTACCATGCCTAATACATTTATAAGGTTTCTCTCCAGTATGTGTTCTTTCATGTATTTGGAGATCACTCTGATATGCAAAGACTTTACCACATAGATTACAATCATAGGTTTTCTCTCCAGTATGTGTTCTTCTATGCATCTGAAGATGTCTGTGACATGTAAAGTCTTCACCACACAGTTTACATTCATAGGGTTTCTCTCCATTATGTGTTCTTTTATGTATTAGGAGACTATGCTGACATCCAAAGGCTTTACCACTTTGATTGCATTCATGGCATTTCTCTGCAATATGTGTTCCCTTATGTTTTTGGAGACTACTGCTATATGCAAAGGCTTTATCACACTGGTTACATTTATAGGGTTTCTCTCCAGAATGTGTTCTTTTATGTTTTTGGAGACTACTGTGGTCTTCAAAGGCTTTACCACACTGATTACACTGGTAAGGTTTCTCCCTACTGTGTGTTCTTTTATGTATTTGTAGAGCACTGTTGTGTGAAAAGGCTTTATAACATTGATTACATTCAAAAGGTTTCTCTCCAGTATGTGTTCTTTTATGTATTTGAAGATTACTGTGATATGCAAAATCTTTACCACACTGATTGCATTCATAGGGTTTCTCTCCAGTATGTGTTCTTTTATGTATTTGAATATAACAGTGATAAGCAAATGCTTTACCACATTGATTACATTCATAGGGTTTCTCTCCTGTATGCGTTCTTTTATGTATTAGAAGGTGACCATGTCTTGAAAAGGCTTTTCCACACTGATTGCATTCATAGGGTTTCTTTCCAGTACACGTTCATTTATGTATTTGGAGCCTACTATGACATCCAGAAACTTCACCACACTGAATACCTTCATAGAGTTTCTCCCCAGTATGAATTCTTTGAAGATGACCATAATATACAAAGGCTTTAACACATTGAGAATATTCAGAAGGTTTTTCTCTGGAATTACTTATTGCATACCTACAAAGATAATTAGAACATATTAAAGCTTTACCACATGCATCGTACTGATGAATCTTCATATATGTATGAGCTAATTTCACAAAATTTGGCCTAACTGTAAAAAGTAATCAGATTTTAAGGTTTATACTCATGGTGTTCACTTCATTAGGAGACATTTTCTGTTTTGAAGATACCTGCAATGGTAAGAGATTCTATTACATGGGTCACATAATATCTTCTTTCTATATGATATTTTTCATAATTTGAAAAGAACTGAAAGAACTCAGAGCTTTACCATACTTATTGCATTCATAAATTGTCATATGGTGTGAGTGAGACTGCATTTGGAAGGTGAACCAGGACAAAGAAAAGTATTTATACATTCCAATACTCATAGAACCTTACTGCAGTTGAGTTTATTGATGTATTCCCAATCAAGTTGGGAAATCAATTACCTGTAAATTCATTTCACATTCAACCATTCTGCTCAGACTGGGGACTAATTGTTCTGGAAAAAAGTTATGTCACTGTTTCCGCCTCCCTGTGCTCTCAAGGCTTATTTATATACAGTGTGGTGTGTGATATACCTATTTAAGGAAAAATAACAAGTAAAAGGTCTACATATTGCATTCACAGTTTGACTTTCTGTTCCTCATAGACATGCAGTATAGATGGGGATTATGATTACTTCACAGCAAACTTATTCACTCATAAACTGTCTATCTTAATTAACTGAGCAAAGTCACCACAAGTATATGTGTAACAGTAGCTTTACTGTGAACTATTTGCTTATTAGAAAGTCTTAGACATATGCTTATCACCTATTCAATGTATATACCCTTTGCAATATTTGAGTGGGAAAAAACTAAATAGATTTTCATTTCTAGAGTGCAGCTCTCCTGGGGGGTCTAAATCAATGGTGGCATCAGTTAAATCAGTGGTTCCTTGTTTTTTTTCTTCGAGGAATGCCTTGGAGATATAGATCAGCTACCTGAAATTGAGGTATATATGTCCTTCTAGAATTTTATAAACATCATTTCACTTTAAGCTGAGCTTATTTACACTGGTTTTTTTTGTTAAAATTTCCAGGACACATTAAAATTTCTTCAGAGGCACATTTGTATCAGCTTTCACAAAAACTTACCTTCCATGTCTTGTAGAGCTTTGGCAGTGTTCTTCAACATTATGGTCTTCCCAACTGTAGCCTAAAATACAGTACCAGAAAATGCATATTATTGGAAACTCTTCAAAATTTAACTTACTCTTTTCAGAGAACATTAGAACTTTGCCTGATTATTCACCTCATTCTTTCTCTTTCTCAAGTGAAATTATACAAGTGTATGGATAAACAAGAAATGCTGTCCTCCTATTATGAAACATGAAGGAAAAATCTCTAATCTTACCTATAGCAGTGAGGTTCCTGTAGGTCTCCAGCATCACATCTTTGTAGAGGCTCTTCTGGGAAGGATCCGGCAAAGTCCACTTTTCCCAAGTGAAGTTGACATGCACATCATTGTAGGTCACTGCATTCTTAAATACCCCACATATGTATACAAAAGAAAGTATGATATGGACAACATTGAAAACATGTATTTCTTTGACAATATAGTATCATATTTATGGTGCTTCCCACACTTATGGAATTATTCCATGACACAGAATTATTAATGTAATCATCAAGTCACTTGTACAGTAAACTGAATAAGAGGTTCACCTGTCTTTTCTGCATCTGTGAAATCAGATAGAGCTTTGAAAGCTAAATGCCAATTAACAGACCTAAAGAGAAAGACAAGCAAGCAGATCAATGGTACTGACTACACACCAGAGAAACTGAACGAACAATTACTAACTACAAAAAGATGGGCAAGCTGGGTATATTGGCTCATGCTCTTAATGCTAGCATGCAGGACGCAAAGGCAGTTGAATTTAATTGAGTTAGATGCCTGCCCCCGCCATGCTCGACCTTTTCAGTACCCTCCCCTAACATGATCTAACATGATCTCCAATCCCAATTCCCTCTTTGTCAATTTGTCCTGGGCTCCTACTTGGGTGGAGATGCAGGGCCCCTCCCACACTATACCTAAGCCCCACCCCCTTAGCCTTTTCTCAGCCTCAAAACTTGGGTGGGACTCCCTGCTGGAACAGAGGGTACATCAGCTGCCAGATTACCAGCTCCCAATCTGTGTGGAGGTGAACCTCTGTTCAACCTTAGGGCCCACAGACCAGAAACCACATAGAAATCAAGGAACAAAACACCCATCCAACGAAGACAAACCGAGAAATAGGCACCTAGACCCACAATCAGCCCAAACCCAGACACCTAAATGTCAGCTTAAGAACGCAATCAACAAGAGCCAGGGCAATGTGTCCCCATCCTAGATATCCTACTATAGCAAGCCCTCGATATTTCAACATATCTGAGCACAAATAAAAGGCCTTAAAACAAACTTCATAAAGATGATGGAAATCCCTTATAGATAGCAAGGAAAAGATTAAAAATATATTGGACAAAATGAATAAATCCCTTAAAGCCAAGGAAAAACCAAAAGTTGAAGGAAATGAAAAAAAAGTACAAACTGAAGGAATTCTAGAAATGAAAATTCTAGATAAGAGAACAGGAACTACAGAGGCAAGCTTCACCAAAAGAATAGATGGCAGAGAGAGTCTCAGGCATTGATGATACGAAGAAGAAACGGTTATATTGGTCAAAGAAAATATTAACTCTCAAAAATTCTGAAACATAACATCCAGTGAAATCTGGAGCACTATAAAAGACCAAACCTAGGAATAACGAGAATAGAAGGAAGAGAATCCCATCTCTTAGGTCCAGAAAATATTTTTTTAAAAATCAGAAGAAAAAAATTTTAACTTAAAGAGGGATATCAGAAAATACAGGCCATAGAATCACCTAAGCAGGGATCATAGGGGCTCGCAGAGACTGAAGCAGAAATTATGAGCCTGTATGAATCTGTGCCACATCCTCTGCATATGTGCTATGGTTATGTAGCTTGGTGTTTTTATAGGGCTCCCAACACTTTATGTGTGTGTGTATGGGGGGTGTCTCTGACTTACTGGGAGATCTACTCTTTATGAAGGGGAATTGAGGAAGATGGAATCTGGGAGAGAGGAGAGCAGGGGAGGCAATTGGGAGGGGAGTAGGGATGAGAGAGTATAGTCAGTTGTTTGCATGAGAATAATTTTTAAAATGAGAGGAAAGAGAGGAATGTAAACACAGGAAGGGAAGACTGGGCCCAGGCAAGACTAAAAGGCAGCACGCCCAACACCAGATCCTAAAACTCTGGCTCAGACTGTGGGGCTTCGTTCCTAAAGGACTTAGCCTTATCCTTACAACTTTTCATACAGGTCTCTCCTTTGCTACCTCCACTGCCTGTATGCAGCTCTCTTCTCCGTGGCAGATGTCTTATAGCTTGTGCATCTCAACATCCTATGGTCTCAAAAAACAATCTTCATCTTCACAGCGTCATGCAATGAACTCTCAGTCTCCTCAGCCAAGCATAGATGGGTGCAACAGTGCTGAAATGAAACCACAGAGGAATAATCCATGAACTGTAAATTTAGCATCTTTCTTCTTTCCAGAACCAGTACAACATTAATGAATCCCAAGAATTTGGCTTGCAAATTTTCATGAACCCTGCCATGCTTGGACTCAAATAGCAGCAAGTTCTGTACAAAACTACTTACAAGGAGTAGGAATCACTTTGCCTTCATCTTCCATAAATTGAAGGCTTAGCTGGATAGTCTTAAAAGTAGGGCGTCTTCGTAGGCTTCCACTGTAGAAAATCTTGAAATGTTACTCGGAAAAGGAGTTTTTATTTATGTTTCTACAGAAAATGAAAAGCTGAGAATTCCTTCCAGGTTTCTGTGGTTTCACGAACCAAGACCCCCGGAAGCAGTGGACCAGGTGTTTCAACGACTGAGACAGCTAAGATGATACAGCCTTACAGACCCCGAAAATACGGACTTATACAGGTTTCTGAGTTTTGTCATGATCCCCATGGTATGAACGGCGCCCCCTTCCAGCAGGAAGCAGTTTAGAATGAGCGACATCCCAATTCCCATCTTGTTTATAAATCTATGTTTTAATTTAAATGGGATTGTTTATAATTGGTTAATGATCACAGCCAATATCCTTTTAATGGTAAAAAAGGGAATTATGATATAGGTATTGTTTTTCATTTATTGATACAAATTCAAGGTCAATTTTGTGATGCTTATATTTCTCCTCTTGATTAAGTATTGTGATTATACTGATCTTTTAAAATGTAATGCGTAATTAAATACAGATTATAGATAGTTACTTATAATAGTCAGAATTTATAGTTAGGTAAGTTAGGTTTTCTAGATATACAGAAAAATATTTGAGATAGATAAACAGTCTTCAAACCTCTCAAAGACCTTCAGAAAATGGCGTTTAAAATGGTTTAGGGCTTTTCTTGACAATGAGAAATGTCTGCTCCTGGCAGCACCAATTACATCTGAGAGGAAGATGGGCATCGAAGAAACTTGTTATGGAGTTTGCTTTCAACATGGCAAGATTAGCCATTTGGGCAAGAAACTGCTCTTGCCTGTACTGCTTGACTGTTGTATAATCTGGACATGCAGGAGCCACAGGAAAGTGAATGCTGAACTCAGTCTTACAGGGTTCCTGCTTCATGGAAGAGTCTAGGAGACGTTCTGCAGGACACAGAGAAATGACTGACAGACTGCCAGCGCAGATGGACAGTTTGAAATTTCCTGCTTTGCTGAGAAGTGTTCCAGACACATTGTGGCCTATGGGCTGAAGATGGATGCCCCAACGTTACAGAGGAACTTCGGGTGGCTGTCCAGGCAGTAAGATACCTCTGTCAATCCTAGTGTTTATATATTATCCTTCTGTGGTCTTTGATGGAGTTGAAGACAGATAGTTATAATTATAGTTTTCCTTAGTTATGATAAAAGATAAGCTACATATAGGACTTTGTACTCACAAGGATGGGATGGATGATATTTTCTTTAAATCTTGCTAAATGTTGATAGACAAAATATTGTAACTATGTTCTTATTTGATAACTGTTCTGTTATATACAATTTGACTGTTAAAGTTAAGACCTTTCTTTTTGTTTAAACAGAAAAGAGGAGATGTTGGGGGAAGTCCTGTGCATTTGTCAATAAAGTACTGTTGAGCCTATAGGAAACCTAGATAGGAGGGACTAGGAGTCCAGGAGAACTCTGGGAAGGGGAAACACAAGAGAGTCGAGATGTAACCGCCATTGGAGTAGGAAGCTCGGAAACCTCTCCGGTAAGAGACATACTTAGATTAACAATTATGGGGTAAATACTTAAGTCAGAGCTAGCCAGTAAGAAACAAACAAGGCCAACAGCTTCATAATTAATATAGCCTCCTGTGTGTTTATTTGGGACTGATGCCGATCTAGAACCAGGCGGGCGGAAAGGCTTCTCTCAAGGAAAGCTTCTCGTAACAATTTTCTATGGTGGGATGCCTTGCCCAAGCTTGGTGCAAGGGGGAGGAGCTTGGACCTGCTTCAACTTAATATGCCATGCTTTGTTGATTCCCATGGGAGGTCTTACTCCTTCTTAATGGAGTGGGGGTACAAAAGGGGTGGGGAGGGAATGAGAGGAGTGTAGGAATGGGAAACTGGGGTTTGTATTTAAAATAAATAAACAAACAAACAACAGATACATGAATAAGAACACAGTACAGTGGTTTCTGGCCCTCCTTCCACCCCAGATCTAGACCTTTACCAGGTCTGCAGAAATGTGCGTTTCAACAGCACTTATGCCTGGTTCAGTGTCTGACCCTGCTATCATCCTGCACTCCACAGGCACTGCCCCTTATTCCTCCTGGACACAATGTGACTAGCTTATACAACCCATTACACACTGTGGAGTGGAATGATTCTCCCATCCCACAGGTGGAGGGGTGCCCAGAATATTAACAATTAAACAGAGAGTTTAGGACCACAAAGAAGATGTTTGTTCAGTGGCTTTATGCTGGGATCTGGTGAACTGCAGATAGTTTTTAACCTGGTTGTCACCAGGACTTCAGACAACTGAAAGGAACCGGATCACAGACAGCATAGCATTTCTTCCTCCCAACAGGCTGTCTATCAATGGAAAGTTGAAGTATTCAGTATTTGTTCAATCCATGAGGCTGGATGCTTCAGCTGGTCCTAAGTATATATCAGAATTCCCAAGTAGGCTCCAAAGCGTGTAAAGGAATTACTTTTCTACCCACAGCTTCATACATATGTAAGCTGCCACCAGAAGTTCTGGCCCAGGTTAAAGGTGGATTTTTTTAAAACTTTCTTTATTGATTCTTTGGGAGTTTCATGTCATGCACCCCAATTCTGCTCACATCCCAGTCCAGTCCCACCAAATCCTGCCCTGCAGTTACCAAAGGGGGAAAAATACAGTAGGCAAGTAAGCAAACAAAACAAGAACTAAATAAAATAAAACAAAACAAAAAACTAAACAGCACTAACAAAAAACCTTTCTTCTTCCTACCTGTA